TACCCGACATTAAAGGTAACGATGGAAAAACCGCTACAGAAGACAAAGAAAAAGTCATGATCATGGCAGGTCACTTCTTTCCAAAACCTGCTCAAGCGTACACCAATGACATCGCGGGTACAAGATTGCCTGAAGAAATTGACACAATCTCATATACTATCACTGGAGAAGAATTCAATAAGGTTATCAGAACATTGCCGAACAATAAAGCTTACGGTCCAGATGAAATACCTAACAGAGTTATAAAGCAATATAGGAAAACCTTGAGTAAGTTACTAACTATCCTTTTCAATGCTTGCCTCACAATAGGCTATCATCCAAAAGAGTATAAATAATCAACTACTATTGTTCTGAGGAAGCCACAAAAGCCCAGATACGATACTCCAAAGACTTATAGACCAATTGCGCTCCTCAATACTATGGGTAAAATCCTTGAGAAGTTGGTAGCATGTCGCCTCTCCAGAGCAGCAGAACACCATAACCTCCTTCCCGATGAACAGATGGGAGCTCGACCACAGAGATCTACAATATCTGCAGAGAAGCTACTAGCAGAAAAGATAGACACAATCTGGGGCAAAGATAAAAAGAGGGTGGCATCTCTCCTCAGCTTGGATATATCTGGGGCCTTTAATAATGTGTCACACGAGCGACTCATTTATAATCTTAGGGAAAAAGGAATTCCAAAGTGGATGAGCCTATACATAAAGTCCTTCCTCGAAGAAAGAACAACATCAATAATGTTGGGATCATTCAAAGGGGACCGAATGTCTACCAGCACCGTGATACCGCAAGGCTCAGCTCTCTCGCCAATACTCTTTCTCTTTTTTGTTAGCATGCTTCTCCCGATACTCGAGACAAGAACTACGACAGCAGTTGAATTTGTTGATGACACAAACATCCGGACATGATCAAACTCGACCGAAGAAGACTGCCGAAAGTTTGAGGAAAAACACCAAGTATGTGAACAGTGGGCAAGAAGACATGGGGTCAGATTCGCGCCTGAAAAGTATCAGCTGATGCACTTCTCCCGAGCCAGAAAACGACACAACCTCAAAGCGACAATTGAAATCCAAGGCCATACCTCAGTCCCACAGCCTTCCCTTCGAGTTCTCGGAATCTACTTTGATCCAAAGCTGTGCTGGGGAGCTCACATCAAGAGCCTTCAACTGAGGGCAGAGATGTAGGTTCAGGGTCTCAGAAGGCTAGCTCAATCAACGTGGGGAGCCACATTTCACAAGTCAAAGATACTCTACAGCACGATTGTGAGGCCGGCTCTAATACAGGGGTCACCGGTTTGGGCTGAGGTCGGGCCGGGTGGAAGAATACTAGAGGATAGTAAGAACTCTCAGAAGCATACAGAGGAATTTTCTCAAAATTGTCACCGGGGCATACAAGTTCACGAGCACGAGAGTGCTGGAACACGAAACAGCCATCCTTCCGATCGAAATATTCTCGAAGCAACAAAGGCTTCAATATTTAGGTCACACAAAGGACTTACCTGTCCAGAAGACAATCCAGTCCGCCTGTAGTAAAATCAAGCTGCCCAGAAAAGGGAGAGAAGATATACGAACAGTTAACAGGAGGATAGATCTTGCCAACTGGACGGGAATGTGCAGTGAACAACAAACCAAGAAGACACATTCAGAGATAGTGAATGTTTTGGCATACCAAGAGTGGGCGAAATCCTGGGCCAAGCAGAAATAAACTCAGAAGCCTCGGCAGTTAGCAACTACACATTCCGAAACTTGGAGAGCAGCCAAATTTTACCAAAGTAGAGAGTCTGGACGGCAAAAACTGAGTTTTCAAGGCTCACCATTCTTCCTACATCGTAACCTAACAAGGGCCCAAAGCATTTTGGCAATGCAAATACGAAGTAAGCACATGGGGCTCAACTCGTATTTACATAGAAGAAAAGTACCCGGAGTGTTAAGTCCAGGTTGTCCATGTGGCTACCAATCACAGAACCCCAAGCATATGATTATGTCCTGCCCCCGATGATCAAACGGTAGAGCTAAGATCTGGAGACAAGCCAAAGATTGATCCTACGAAGCGATGTTAAATAGTCCTAGAGATATAAAAAGGACAACACAGTGGATCCTAAACCATGGTTGGATAGAGCAATTCCAGATAACAAAGGCGGTCGAAATGCTGGTGAGGGAAAGGAACAGGTCAAGCCACTACTGAGGTTGATAAAGCTGATCTGGTTGGTTTACATGGATGGCACTATAGTGTAACTGCGCTTCCTGAAGAAAATATGTGAGAACTATAGACAACAAGTAGAAAGGTGTGGGAGGTTTTCACCATAATGGTTTCCTCCCGAGTAAACATTAGAGATTGTAGACACCTGCATGGGTCCATGGGGCGCCAAATCAGGATAATGAAATCAAAATCAAATATATAATATTCCGTTAACTTAGTTTAACATATACAGATTAGTCTATCCTTAAATATAGATCCCCAAGGCTTTACTGATCCCAAACTCCCAGTGATCTAGCAACGACTAGCCACTCAATTATCGCAAGGTAGCATTTTCTAGCCACTGCATTTCAGATACCACTGAGCCTCATGTCGCCCAGCTAAGCTTAATCATATGCAATCGAATCAATTGAATTGATCTTGATGATCATACCAAGAAATCTAAACCTTCATATATACTAAGTCTAGATTTCCAACACTTTACCTTATGATTAGTTATTTTCTCTTGTATGTAGAAAATAGACAGTATTCGGACTCCATACCGTTGTTTTATCGTGTTGTCGTAGCCTTTCACAAGAATCCATTATCCTCCAGTAAAAAATACTGCGGTCTACAGCCCGCAAACGAAGATTGATCCCTGGCACCCCCAGATATTCGAGCAGCTCAGGAGTCGAAAGAGACAATAAGACGCTTAGGTCTTGGATCGGGACTAAGAAATCGCTTGTTCAGACAACCAGAACGACATATGACACGCTTGCGAACAATCGTGTGTCAAGTTACGACAGCCAAAGGCCCTGGAAGGCTATACTTTCCATGTGGCACCTCAGCATCGACTCCATGTAGTCGAGAAAATGGAGCTAGGTCTGGAAGCATCAAGCGATAGTTAGCTACCCTTCCAGCTGAAAAAGTCTGCGCTTTCTCTGATAGATCTTCATCGAGTCCCGGAAAACCAGCCTGGGAGTATGTAGTATACCCAGGAGGCAAACTAGCTGGGATTGGTTCCCGTTCACTTCCCGGAGCAGAGGTATCCGACGCGGATGTTGTAGGAGCCATGAAAGATTCGAAGGCCGCGCTAACGGTGGAAGGAAACCTGCCGATTCGCATTCGTCTGAAAAATCAAGCGGCCACCCGGGCACTCGACCGAGGAAGATGTAACTCCTCGTAGGCAGTGGTGAACAATTTTTCGTCGCTGAGACACAACAAGCGTGTGGAAATACGCTGGATACCTGGTCATTTTGGGATCAAAGGCAGTGAAGATGCCGATAAACTGGCCAAATCGTCCTTGGTAGCTCTCAATGACGAATCACTTATCTTAGCTAGACCCAGTGGAGAAGATCAAAATCCACACTTTTCTGCATTAGAGAGGTGGGTTAAACAGTGCGGCCAAGAGCTCGTGGAAGAGTGATGGCAGAAGTATCGGCCGAAATAACACAAAGATCTGGACCTCTTTATGCGCGGCAAACAGCCACCGGAACTGGCCCTACCAAGATGGGCGTATCGCCGTCTGGTTGCGGCAAGCACAGGTCACGGGGACTACGGCGACTACCATCGACGTTTCAAACCCGAATATGAGGATCTGAAATGCGATCGCGGCCGAGAGAAGAGGCCTTGGCATTTTTCAGAGTGCCGACATGCTTTGCAACGTTGGAGAAGCTGCGAGAAAATGTCCCCACCTGGTGCCAGAGAAATGTTAGGGGAGAAAGGACGGCAGAAGTTCATCCAATTCTTAACCACAAGCAGATGTTACAGTCTACCGAAGAACAAACAAGGTAGGAGGAGCCCATGCTGAGATTGTTTCTGACTCTAGAGGAGCTGTGTTGGGAAGATAGAGATGCGGCGCAGGGCACCGTAACTTAGATATTTACTGTACCTTTTTCATTTATTTTGTCGCTTCTGGCTTTATTGCCGGTCTTGTAGGTAGCAATGAGCTCTCAGAGCTCATCCACCCGTGTCACGTCTAAAAAGGTGTTTGGTTCTTCCGGTCATGTAAAAGATTTGAAATTCAAATCTAAATTTAGCCATATACCCTTATATCATGCTAAGACATCATTACAGTGTGTTTGAAAATATACTCTGTACGATATTATATAAATATATGCCATGATGTTAAGGAGACTTGATTTTTGCAACTGAGGGAATATTGGACTTATATATACATTTCAGGAAGAAATTCCCACTAGTCTCATGTGCCTGTCAAGCCTAGTGATGACCAGCCACCTCTCATCTACCATGATGAGCCAAGGTACACTGTAGTTTGTAAATATCCAAACGTATGTGGATCCGGAAAAGACTTACAGGGTTATGGGAAGACGCACAATAACATTACATAATCATAATGATAGATCACTTCGGCATTGAGGGGTAAGGAGGGATTGATGTATATAGGCGTAGAAATATCCTACACTTAGAGGACATAGAATTCACGTATTAGTTTCAAGCTCTACACAAGATCCGTTGTAATTAGGAGCCACGAGACACCACGTGATATCCTTTCCTTCTTACGCCCACCACACCATTTACTAAGTATTACAACGCGCGCTCGGAAACCTCAAAAATATATTTATGAAGAGTAACCTCATTTCCAAGTTTCGGAAAAAAATCAGTAAGAACAACTCGTCATATCACTCATCATGTCCGAAAGGAGCGAGCCAGCGACAATTGCAGGTGTTAACAAAAAGGTTCGTGAACATATTGACCAGCAAAGCGGGTTCAACAATAGGGTCAAGAAGCAACTCGAAAAACTTGAAAGTTTGTTAGGTTCGCAAACGGATATTGCCATCCACCAAGCGGAACAAAGCAAAATAATGGCCGAAAGGATGGACCGCATAGAAATAACAATGTACGAGATAAAGACGAGTCTCAAAGCGATTCAACCAAGAAACCAACCTGGTAAACTCGCAATATCTGAACCCTCCAATTCGGCAACCCGACCTGAAAAAGGCAAAGCCCCAGCAAGGCCGGATAAATACCCTCCGGTCGACAGCACAAATGTCACCTCCAAACTAGAGATCGATTCCTTCGTTTTAACACCTGGCGAAAAATTTGTGAAAGAAGCTTGGCCTCAAGCACTTCTGGCTCATGAGGTAAATCACGAGGCATATACCAGCATAAAAAATAAGGTGGTAATTAGACCGGAACTTCGCCTGGACAAGGCCAATTCTACTGTATTTTCCAAGCTCACTGAAATTCAGTCAGCTTTTAGAATTGCCTTAGTTCCGTACTGGTACTGGCCAAAACGGCTTTGTTTAGATATGAAAGAGGACTTTCAATGTACACGCGTTTGGGCCGAGGAAAATTCGGCAACTACTTGGCCCCTGCTACTGGAAGCAATCTTCAAAACTATGCAGCGATTAGACGTACTACATAGTCTCAGAACCATCTTCTCCCGCCACGCTGCCAGAGATGGAGAAGACATTAACTCCTTCACTACCTGAATCCACGAATGCTACTACGGCCTGTCCAAGCAAGACAGAGGAAGCGATACTACCCGGGATACTCTATCTGACATCACAAAGACCTACTTGCCGCATATATGGACACATCTCCAGCCAATGATGGTAGGAAGATCAAATAGTGATGGTGTCGAACTACTTGTTCAAATAGCGACCCGGATCTCGAAATGGCCAGCGCAAGCAAATCTTTGCGTTAGCGCGAATACAAACTCATTGTCTAAGCTCATAATATCAGATCCTAGGCTGAACCAGCCTTTAGTATTCCCAATTTAAGAGAAAGCTGACTTGAATCACCTAAACTTGAGAACTCTTTTCCGGTACGCGACGGCAGTTGTGCCATTTGTAAAAAATGGGACACTGGACTAGAGAATGCTCAAAGAATAACTACACAAAGCAAGTACCGCCGCATTACAAGCAAGATACCGGTAAAGATAAGTACGGTAACTTCAAGAAGAAATTTTCGGCCCTCTTGGACAAAAGTAGGAATCAAAAGCAACCGCAGCACATCGGGAGACCAGGGAACCGGGGGACCTATTTTATCAACTCAATAGATCCCGAAGAGATATCTGGTGACCATGATAATGCAGATCGTTTTCCAATAGACGACAAGTTGGAAAAATTCTTCGATGAATTAAAAGAAGAATATCCCGTCGAGTAAAGACGTCGAAATGCCTACTTCGTGGCAGTAGACATTGACAATCATACCACCCCCATCGTCATCAAACCAACACGAGAGGGACATGGCAAGCCAGACAACTTATTTTACACTCGTTTAACAACGTCTCCTTTGTTCAGTTTCTCGATTTTTTTTGATTACGGTTGTTCTTCTTGTTATATTTCCTTTTCTCTCGCACAAAAACTAAACCCCTACCAGACAAACTATACTTCCACGATGTCTGGAATAGGTGGCAAAGGCCCCACTGTCTCCCAAGATGTTTTAGTCAATGCGCAATTTACCTTACTCTCACATAATGCGAAGTAGTCAACGCTATTCACTGTTTCAGTAGGCGTTGTTCCCGACGGAACTTTTCCTGGAGACCTCACGCTCGGGCAAACAGTATTCCATACTTTCGGATTAAAATTCCTTGCCAACGGCGAGATTAGGCCCCTTGAATTTCCAGAAAAATCAACCCTAACCTCCCACAGTAAACACAATCTTTCCCAACAAATCTGTACGACCATAGAGATAATAAAAGTAAAATGGCACCCGAGTACTACAACTCAGGGTTTAAAATATGGTCGAATTTATGCAGAACAATTTCCTTCCCTTTTCGATAAATCTTTGAGAAGATCTGACATTCTTTCTAAAACCTCCCACCGAATAGATACATGTAACAGTTCACCAATCAAACTTCTTCCAAGACGCTACAGCTCGTCACAACTTTAAGCTATCCGCGATTTTTGCAAAACTCACGAAGGAACATTAATCAAAAAATGAAAAGGACCCTGGGCAGCACCCTTGCTACTTACACCAAAAAAGACAAACGCAAGCTCTGACAAAGTAATTTGGCGAATATGTGTTGATTATAGAGAACTAAATAAAGTTACAAAAAAACACGCACATCTGTTACCAAATACTCAAGATTAAATCCACATGCACGAAGATGACAGCGAAAAGACCGCCTTCGCCACCCCCTTCGGTGTCTACCAATGTCTAGTTATGCCTTTTGGACTCTGTAACGCTCCGGCCACGTTTCAATCATTTATTGAAGGAGTCCTTTAACCATTCAGACCGTTTGTTTCAGGACTACTAGATGACGTAGCAGTCTGGGGAAACAATCCCGAAGAACTTCACACTCGTTTGATTCTCGTTTTTACTAGGTTTGCGGAGTACGGATTAATTCTCAACACATTCAAATGCCATCTTTTTGTTACTCACGGTATTTTCCTTGGATTTTCTATTTCTTTTCTCGGCATTTCAAGAGACCCAAATAAAGTCTCTGCAATACGAGACAGGCCTATGCCAAAAACTACGTCTGATATTCGCGGGTTTGTCAACGCCGCAAGCTATCTTCGTTCAATAATAAAAGATTTCTCAAAATTGGCCGGTCCTCTCATTGATCAGTCTATCGGTCCAAAGAATGCGCCTGTCGTTCTCACTGCCGAGTCTCAAGCAGCATGGAGCAAAATTAAAGACGCTCTCACAACTACTACAGTGGTAGAATATTTCGTTTGGCGCCTGCCTGTTGTTTTGGAAACAGACTGTTGGAAATAGAGACACGGAGTGTTGTGGACGTACGGGCCCTCCATTTCAACTAGGTTCCCGACACGATCTTATGTGTATTTAAGAGGTTGGAATAGGTTGGAATAGGTAATATGGTAGCGCTTCAGGCTACCTATTGGATATATGAGCGGCTGTATGGCGTGGGCACAAGGAGGTTATTGGGGGTTTTCTATGCCTAGATGGCGCAACACTTGTTTATGCTGTGGCTAGGCTCTGTGTCGCTTACACTTGTACTTGTAGCGCACATCTCCCACACTTTTAGCTGGAATCCGAACACGACACTCTTTTAGTCAGCTTCTACTTTCGCTCCATAAATATTGCGCCCACTTCATTGCGCGATATTTCCAACACAGACGCATCCCAAAAGTTCCTTGGAGCAGTATTACTCCAGCCTAGCATTTCAGTATCCGATAACTCTCGATCTATTCTCCATCCTATAGCCTACTTTTCACGCAAACTCAACGACACGCAGCAACGGTACTTGGCTCAGGAACGGGAACTACTGGCAATCTTAATGACTTTACAACACTGGCGGCACTGAGTCGAAGGATCGGACGTCACTGTTGTTACGGACCATGAATCACTCAAGTCAATCCGAACTAAAGCTGAACAACCAGTAAGAATCGTCCGATTCCTAGACAGCATCGAGCATTATGGCATACGCATAGTGTATCGAAAAGGTAAGGCAAATGTTTTGGCAGACTACTTATCATGCCCGACAGAAAATATGTACCTTACTAGAGAAGAGCACGAAGATCTACGCAACACTCAAGAAATAATTCCAGAGCAAGGCAACCTACACGAGCAGGAAACCTTGAGCAATCCCGAACATTTAAATCGGATAGACCTTCGGTGTATTTTCAAGTACCTTTTAACCGGACAAGACCTACCACCAAAACTCACCGCAAATTGGGTACAGAGAACGTTTACAATCTACGAAAATAAACTGCATTTATTCAAGCCAATAACCTCGTCGGCTATAGGAGATTCGCCAACGACAGCAACGTCCTGCAGTATACTCCCCGTACTAGAACGGGGAGAACTTGAAAAGGAGATCGGAATCGTACACGAAAGCTAAAGACATGCATCCATTGGGACGACCATGCAAGTAGCCAACCGGAAATTTTGGCACCCTGAATTACTTCTGGCCGCAATCCAGGCTGTTCAAAACTGCCGTTCGTGCCGACTAATGAAGCAGCCGGACCCAGCGCTAGGTAACCCAACACCTATTCAACCAGCCCCACCCCTAACTCGTTGGGGCATCGAACACACCAAAGTCGGACCGCAGATACTTTTGCATGCAGTCGAATACTCAACGGGTTTGTTAGAATCGCGGTTAGTACCAAACACTAACTTCTAAAATACTGTACCCCTGTTGATGCACATCATCAATTGCTTTGGTGCTCCAGAGCAACTCATCAGTGAAAATGCAGGATGTTTTAGTGGCTTAGAGGTGCAGAGTTTCCACGCCCGGTGTAAAATAAAGGTCACCCACTCGACTCCTATAAGGCCTCAAAGCAACGGCAAGGTAGAACAAGTAAACGGCGTGCTCAAAGCAATTCTAGCTAATATCCTACTAGACGACTCTATTAAATCACCCAATGAAGCACTTCCTCATGCAGTAGTGATATACAATCGAAGGATAACTCCATCCGGGTATGGTCCCTACTTCCTCTTATTTGGAACACAACCACCAAATGAAGAATTTGCATACCCAGAATATACCCGTGAGTCAGCTCTACGATAGGAAAATGACTGAGCCACCGAGTTAGTGAAAGCAAATGCCGCACCCATAGCAAGATCTTTCGTCGCTAGTATGAAGGCCGTCCGCGACCAGACCCGATCATACCTACAAGAAAAGAAAGCACTCATGCGGACATACGCATCAGGCGACTGGGTGTTACGAGTACGATAACGTAGACACAAATTCGAACCATTCTACGACGGGTCATGGGCAATAGCAAGCTGTCACGAGGGAAACACGTATTTATTGATCTCCCCTGGAGGATGCAAACTGTCTAACAAGTACAACGGTACCAATTTGTTCCACACTTATGTGCGACAAGGACACCCTGTAAGGATCCTATGGTATGGCAGTCAGAGACTACTAAACGAGGATCGGAACAGACTGAAAGCTGTAGCTGGCCTGTGAATATTTTAACTATCATATTATGATGAAAATATATTTTTAATTTTTTTTTGTGAGCTGAGGACAGCTCAGGTATGGGAAAAGGAGTATTGTGGATCCTGGATAGATCTACAGGGCACGAGTTAGCAGGATGTAAGAAAAACGGCACACACGTAATCGTAATTATCCTATGACCTCAAGCACAGGAAATCGCACGTTCAGAGCCCGCGACCATAGCAATAGATCTACTAGTGTCAGGAGTAAGGAGGAATCAATGTATATAGACACATAGAAATCCTACATTTAAAGGATATAGAATTCACGTATTAGTCTCAAGCTCTACACAAGATCCGTTGTAATTAGGAGCCACGAGACACCACGAGATACCCTTTCATTCTTACGCCCGCCACACCATTTACTAAGTATACAACACGTGCTCGGAAACCTCATATATGCGGCAGTAGGCGCGATTAGCGCACTCGGGACATGTGTGGATCCTGAAAAGATCTACATTGTCACGGACTTATCAGATTTTGGATATACGGCGTATAGACAAAATGCTAGTGCCTTATGATCTCACACGATCAGATTGCACAGTCACAAGAGCAGATTTTACTGGAGCTGAGAAGTAACAGAGTATTGATGTAAATAGGCGCATAGATATCCTACAATTAGGGGGAGATAGAATTCACGTATTAGTCTCAAGCTCTACACAAGATCCATTGTAGATAGGAGCCACGAGACACCGCGTGATAACATTTCATTCTTACACACACCCCCACCATTTACTAGGTACACAACGCGCGCGCCCAGAAACCTCTTTTTTTTTCTTTTTTTTTGCCCAGAAACCTCACATGTGTAGTGAGAATCTATCTTGTCGGGAACCTGAGACGAAACAGATAATTGTTGGGTTCTAAATTCGAGACTTAGAATTTCCAACAAATTATAAGCTATTCCCCAGGTACCATCTTTCCTGAGTTCATTTGTGAAGGCTGTCACATCGGGTGAAGGAATCGACTCTCGCTGTTCGACCAACAGCGCCTATCTTTTCCACGCCGAAGCGAGGCTCAGTGTGTAATTTGTAAACACCCGTATGTAAACCACGTGAACTACTTGATAGTCCCTATTATTTTAACTTCTGATAATAAATATTAATAAAACAAAACAAAAAATATGGCTCTCTATTCAACACATTAAACGTTATGCCGAATCCCATGGATCTCTTTGAAAAATAAGCCTAGCAGCGAAACACTAGTAGGCTCAAGTTCGCAGCGCTAGAGTACTAAGACTACAGTCAAAATATACTTCTATTTAACCCTATGTTTTGTAAAATCTACTACTATTAGTCCATATTATTAGTATAAAAGATTTATATTCTAGACGTATTAAATGTGATACCACCACTTACTCAGCCTTTTAGCTATTTAATGAACTAATACGGAGTTAAATATCACCTATTCATTTATTTATTTCAAGATTATTGTAAAATTATCTAGTTTTTGAGTTTTAATACGAATTTAAGCAGTAAATTTATTCGGCGTTTATCTTAAAAACTTTTTTCTAGCATATAATTAAATCAAATTTAACAAGTCGCTAAGATAGAAGTTTGAACAGCTTCAAAATTTAAAAAACATACAACGCAGGAGCAAGGTTCCAGTATTCCTGAGTAAATCGAAATGATTTCTCTTATTTTCTTTCAACAATTGATCTTTAAAAAGTTTTAACAATGGCCTACCATCCTGACTGATTAGATGACTTGGGAAATAGACTCGTCTCATTCCAGCCATCAAAAGAATTATCTTCCGTTACTAGCAATGAGTTATTGTTATGATTATGAAAAGTGTCGCATTTTTTACTTGTAGTTGAAAATTGGCGCGATACGGGAGGGGTTTCATTTTGCGAAACTCTTCTTGTTTCTAAGACCAGCGGATAATCATTTTGATTTTGTGATGTTTGTGTGCTAGTTTTGTTCCAATCTGAGGACTCAGCTTGAGTTGAGGTTTTGCCTTGAGCCTCATACCCCGCCTCATTTAATTGATTTTGATTTATTATCGGATCGGAGTCAGAATATGAATTGCCAGCAGCTTGCTCCTCCTCCACATCTGAATCATCCTCAAAATCGAGGAGATTTTCGTCGCCGTGACCACTTGCATCAAATCCTTGAGGAATATGATCGGCAAGGAAATCAGGTACAGCTTGATGAGTCTCGAGTAGAAATTTTACAAGAGCAGGTCCCAAATCTTCGTCTTTAGAAGTAAAAAAAGACATAGCTACACCAGTATTCCCAATACGCCCAGTGCGACCTGTAAAAATTATCAAATTAAACATTCTAAGTAGTGACAAGATAAAACTCACCAATACGATGACAATATTCCTCGATCCCACCGTACATAGTCGAAGGGAGATCAAAATTGATAACCGCCATAACATTGTGGATATCAAGTCCCCTTGCAGATACGCCAGTTGCAATTAATATGGGTGTCTTGCCTGCTCGAAAAGCCCGAATTGAATCTTCACGCTCACGTTGAGTACGGTCGCTGTGGATTGAGGTGCAGGGAAAGGCAGAATTGAAGAGAAAATCATCCAGATCATCAGCTGAACGTTTGCTATTGACGAAAATGATCGTACGAGCTGGAGGCATATTTAATAAGTAATCTCGAAGAACTGTACGTTTTTGAGAAGGCTGCACTTCGATAATCTTCTGTTTTATATCAGCATGAGTACTGCCTACGCGTCCAACACGAATCCGTATGTGGTTCATTGCTAGATGCTCTCTAGCGAGTTGACGAGCATGTCTCGGAAATGTAGCAGAGAACATTAGGTAATTAATATTACCTTCCTCTTGATCTTCTGAAGCATCAGCTAGAACAACCTAGAAAAAGATCGAAAGACTTGCCACCACCACTCATGATAGTTTTCATTTCCTGATCCCAATCAGTACCAACCATCTCATCGGCCTCATCAATAACCATGTATTTGAGCCTTTTGAGAGTTAGTAAGCTGGGGCGGTTTATAAAATCAACCAATCGACCAGGAGTACCAATCAAGACGTCACATCCTTTTTGTAACTGCATGATTTGTTCTCTGATAGGACAGCCTCCATAAATGACACATGGTCGAAGCATTGTACGATAGCAAAATCTACGGGCTTCATCAAAAATTTGAGTAGCGAGTTCCCGGCTCGGGGCCACGATACAGACTAAAGGCTCGGCCCGAACAGGTTTATCTATACCAGGCTGGAATTTAGCCGGATTAGGTCGTGGAGCACAAAGTTTCTTGGCTTTACCCATCAACTTTGAAAGTATCGGAATCAGAAAAGCAGCCGTCTTTCCTGAACCTATGAAAATGTCAAAATTATTAGTCAAAAATGAAACATTTAGAAATACCAGTTTGAGCAGACGCAACAATATCATAACCTTTGAAAACTGCAGGAAGACAGTACTGTTGAATGGGAGTTGGAATATCATATCCTGCAAGCTCCACATTCCTTAGCATAACAGGGTGGAGCCCAGCTTCTTTAAACGAAAATATAGGTTTAATTCGTATTTCACCTAATAATTATTACTATTTACGCCTAAAGATGAGCGTTGTGAGAATTTAGACTGACCCTCTTGAACAACTCCAATACTAGATAGACTGAGCTAAATTAGCAATTAAGATGTGCAGAGGGATACTATTTTTTACTTTTTGAAGTTTATACCAGACTTGACATGGAGATCAGAGCCAAATAGTTCGCGCTCAAGATCAGGAAACTCGGGTCCGACGTCTCCGTAGTCATCATCCCAGACATAGACCGATGCATTATTATGCCAGTCACCAGTGGCAATGCCGCCGAAAGTGTCTTGATTTGAAATACCAGTTTTACTATTAGAATCTGGAACTTCGTCAATACTAGCTAGTCCTTTGACATTTTTAGTATAGGCATTGTAGTTGTAAGCAGTCTTTTTGGCCCAGCCATGTTCCTGAGGGCTTAAAGTTGGAGAGGATGTTTTGGGTGGAAATTGACTAGAATCAGTATCTTTCATATGAGGTAATGCTTTTGCCATTTGATTCAAGTCCCAATCACTATCCATATCTATTGAAGCACTGTTATTTTATCAGGAAGCTTCTGTGTTGGTTCGATTGCTGGAGAAAATGAGCGATCACTAAAATTATTTTTAATCCGATGCTTGAGATGGGGTTCTTCTCTGGGAATAGAGATTTTACCAAGATGTTTAGAACAGTCAAGAAGCTTTAAGGAATAGTAGCAGTGTAGGATAGGAGCGAGGTGAGAGTATTGAAGGAATCTAAGTCTCAATGAAACAAAAGATGAAAGGTGAGAGTATACCTGTAACTGCGGGGTAGAAAAAAGCGTATGAACAGAAGAGTAGAAGCCGATGAAGAAGTGACGAAACAGGAATTTCTTTGTCAAATTCACGGGGAAGTACAAGGCGGTGCCAAGCAGAACTCAAGATGCTTATTACGACTTACGATTATTTTGATGGTGCAAGAGCTAGAAGACGTAATGCTTGAGTAGTGATAAGGAGAATAAATGTTTGTGGTCTCAGGATATTAAAAGACGATAGGCAAAGGAGTAACAAGGGGGAAGAAAGTTAACCTTAATAAGCTGTTGCCAGTATTAGAGGCTTAAAATTTGTAATTACTTATGACCACAAATCAAAGCCACTATATATTATAGCATGGTAACAATATTTTGCTATTATGAATGGTTAAACTTCCATAAGAAATTCTGACTCCACTTTTATTGAGGGTTATGGATTTATCGGACTCTGCAAAATTTTATCGCTAGAAATTCTCAAGTTACTCCTGGTAACCTCCATCAATGTAGTCCTAGGACCTAAATTATACCAAATTTCTCCTTCAATCTCATTCGCGATAAAGTTGTTTAGCACGCCTAAATGAGTTTCAATAGGTTGTCCTTTTCCAAATCCGATAGAAAAAGCCTTTTTCGATCAACCTTTTAGAAATTGCCGATTAAGTCTTGACCAGAAGGCTTTTAGTAGTTACTAACATCAGTAGCACAACTCAAGTCGCTCTTCGTCTATGTAAGTTATTTGAAGGACCCATTTCGAGAAAGCAATGGTGTGACGGACGATATACTAAAGCGATTTCATAGCCAAGTTCTGGTCTATAAGTACACTGGTAGTTAATCTAGTCAGTACTAGACCGAGTCGACTCAGTCTAGGCCAACAAATATCGTGGGAGCCGTATATATTGATTGAGATAATTTTGTGCTTTCATGCCTCAAGATTGAGCATCAAGTTAGAAAGTTCTGCACTATGTGAAAGATTCCATTTTTTCTCCGATCACAAAATAATAGTGCCGAAGCCTGGGTTATTACGCCAAGACGTGTGAATCAGCAAATGATGAGAAAACAAGTTTTCGTTGCGACTCAGAGATATTAGCTCTTGAATAATTTCCAGGTATCCTTAGCGTGGCAGGACCAGCCCACCAGGATAATAATTACTTAGTGTGTGTTAAGATGGAGACATCTGCTTGCCCAATAATGTTGAGGGTCTCAAGTTCCTCTTCTTCATCCCAAAGTCCTGTCGAATGGCGAAGGTGAGTAGCTCAGGCTATTATAATTTCGTACAGAGACATATCTAAGCGACCGAAAAGTGATATCTTGTTACAATAAAACGAAAGAACTGTGGAATTTTTCGAATGCAGACTACCTGAGACAAAATATGTAGCCCGGTTTTATAGGGGCTAATCTATTCAAAACAATTGGCTTCCCAGTCCCAGAATGTAAGCGAATTTGTATCTGTACAATGTGGCTATCCAACCAAACAGGCAATAATAATACAATTTTTGGATTTTGTCACATGCTCAGATGCTAATTAAAGAGGATAGAGCCCCACTATGGAGCTTTTAGAATAGAAAGTTCTGGGGAGGTTCCCAAGGATTATCTTTCATAACAAATTGAATTAAGAAAGTATATCATCTCATCGCATCGCCTCTCGCGTTATTACGCCCACCTCTTGCAGTTGGAATGGAAAAATCTGGATTTCCACTGAGAAGGACATCATTTCTTTGTTGAGTTGGCTTTCGGGATGGAACTAAATCGCGACTGTAATTAGGGTCCTTCAGTTCGCCAGATGTATCACCATTCCACTGTGGATTTACGCCACGCTGTGATACCGATGTGAAGTTCGAATATTCCGATTCAGCAGGAGAGCATGGACTAAATCTCAAGTCTTCGTTGGATTTATCTCTTTCTATGTTGAAGCCTGTTAATATTCCGGGTATGGCCTTCGTAGGCCTTGGCGCAAATGGAGCAGAGATGTTGGGCGGTGGTAGGAATACATGATCCGCATCATCATAGCGATTATTGCCTATAAACTTTCGATTGGTTACTAAATCAACTGGAAAGTTAGCTGTAAGCACGTCACGGGAATGATTTGGTGATCCATTCTGCTTCCGGGGTTGCAGCGGAGCAACGTAAGGCCTATAAACTTAGTATTCTTCTCTTCAGAGCTCAGTCATTATACTTACTCTTCCATATTATAGTCTGCGGCCCTATTTTCAGTGTATCCCAGCTGCTGATGATCTCTTACTTGGGAGGGCCCCGTATCATGGTTATTTGACATGGCTTTGTTTGTAAAAAGGTTATTATTCAGTTTGGAGGGTTGATTTCCACCGTTCGTTCTCTCTGGCCGAACCATTACAAGATTTTCGTCTAGTTCTGACAAAGGTGGTGGGGTCTGAGCCACAGGAAAAGTGCCGGCAGAGAGCCGAGGGTTGTAAGTCGAATAAACAGACGGTGAAGGTGCATTATATCCAATTTCCCTGAAACCAGTTGGGGATAAAGGTGCTCGTTCGTATGGATCAGGCGGTAATTGCTCGTCACCACGAAATCTTGGTGGGATAGCTTCAAATCCAGGCTGGATTCTACCGCCTCTTCCATTAATACTTCCCCTTGTCGAATTTCCTCTTTGAGATCCAAGATTAACTCCTCTATATGGTATGTTTCCTGATTGTGGAGGTCGATACGCACCTTGCGGTTGCTGAATACCTCCTCGAGCTTGTTGCATGCCTCCTCGAGGTTGTTGCATGCCTCCTCGAGTTTGTTGCATACCTCCTCGAGGTTGTTGCATACCTCCTCGAGGTTGTTGCATGCCTCCTCGAGGTTGTTGCATGCCTCCTCGAGGTTGTTGCATACCTCCTCGAGGTTGTTGCATGCCTCCTCGAGGTTGTTGAGTGCCTCTTGTAGAGAGACCGTAGTCACCTCTTCCCTGCCCATCATATGCAACGCGAAGTCCGCCTCGAGGACCACCGCGCATATTATTTTGTGGAGGCTGACCTCTTTGTTCGTTGACCGTGGGAGGATATTCATTGAACTGGTTACTGAAATATGGATCAGAAGGCCTTAGACCATTAATATCATATGTTGAATCTGGAGCACGATAACTATTGTTTTCTGTTGGCACTTGGGTTCGGAGATCGCTTCTATTTGATAAGTTGTATTTTAGTGTACTCCCAGTAACTGATTGCCCATCGGTAGGGCGTTCAGCTGGTATCTGTTGGGTTAGGGGTACACGTTCATCATTGTTTAAAGGCTCGTCTTTAGGTTTTTTTGCTATTTCGAAAGTTGCGAAAGCTGGTTGATTGTTAACAGCTGTACCTGCGGCCGCTGCAGTAGCGATTACTGCAGGCGGCAAGTTAGGATTTGGTCCTTCTCTGCCGTAGAAATTCGCGCCATTCATTTCAGCATTTTCAGCAATTCGTCTTTTTCGAGCTTTCCTGTTTACCAAGGTACGGCGCATAGCGCAAGAGACGATTCCACTCATAGCTACAAGTATTGTTGCGGCAAGCACTAAGTAAGACCCCCAAGCCATGTGTGGGACAAATAGTAGCACATCGATTAAAAAAGATAAGAGGGCTGTTACCAATGTTAGGATGCTGAAAATAAAAATGACGAGTAGGAAACGAGGAGAGTGTGAGGGAGCGTGAAAATGTGCCGACGCAGCCAGCACTAACATAATAAATGTCAAAAAGGCTGCAATAGGATGGACTATAAGGATGATTGAAAGAGTAGCGCGGGTCGAGGAAGGAAGGTCGAAAGTCGAAGATTGAGCATCGTTGAGGAGACTTGCTACGGTGAAAGTTCATCAGTTATTGGATTTTATATCACTTGCGGTCAGTATTATATTGAACTTACAAGTGTCATATCCAAGTTCAATTGGACTGCATGCATCTCCCTTACAGAATCCGAAGACACCAAAATCAATTCCGGCGAAAGAAGCGAGTGGAATAATCTTAATGATAGGAGTTGAAACTATCGAGATTATGAGAAGACCGAATGCCCCTAGGAGCAGAATCGTAAGTGGAGTGGCAGGCCTTAACATACTTCAAGGCTATATCTTGCGTTTGTATGCTCGTCGTCAAGACGAGACCAGAGTTGTTTATTTGCAGGAAATATGCGATGAGTGTACAAATACAGGACGCATGAAGTACTTTAGCTGGACCTTGAGGATATTACATTGGTGGACAAAATTTCGATAAATCAATTGAAAGATGTGAGTAAAAGGCTGGTTTGTATGAATGAAATAAGCTCTCTCCCTCTATCAAGGGTCTGATGGCATGGAAGTCGCCTTCAGAGTATGCCTGGGAATAGATTAGTCATGCTTCCGGCTAATTATGATTTGACGGAAGAGTGTAGACCTTGGGCTCATTGAGATGAAGTGTATACTGAATAAAATAGTACGGAGGTGAAGTGATGCTCATGACTCGGCAACCATGTCTACCAAATTCCGCCAGTCTCAGATATTGTAGAGAGTGCAGATTTTCACACTTTTCAATAACACTAGCATGCAAATATTGTGCGCAAGCTCGGAGCTTCTGCTACTACACCAAAGTGACAACAGCAGGTACGGTATGCCAAACTCCCTTTTCGCGCATATCTCAAAAGCTTCAATCCCCCCCTTCCGTTTTTAGCACCTTAACCATTGATATGTCTATGCATCTTTTAAGCCTATGGTTTCACATCCCTGTACACAAACTAGAATTAGTTACAGCGAGGAGAAATCAACTTTTCAAAGTCACCAAGTGCTTCACTCTCCATCGTTGTGTGCATGCAAGACCATGTAAAGCAAACAGACCAGGCACACATAACATCTTGGTTCGCTCTCTACAGACTCAAAGATATGAGCCATTTGTTCCTCCTTCTCCTGGATCACTTGGGAAGGCAACTCCGGCAAGACTGTATCCGGTCACGATAAAATGGGGTCGAAGATTCCTTTACATGTCATTAGTATTGGGTGCCGTGTATCTGATAGATAATGAATTTTACGCCTCTTCCATCAAGCGCTCCGCCCGTACCTTCGCCACTGGATTGAGGGTAGCTATCGATTACAAACTCAACTTTAGACCAGATCCATGGCTGGGTGGTACTATTGCCGACCTTCACCACCGAAGTGCCGAAAGAATATTTACCCTCCTCCACCAAAATGGTGGCTTGTATTTGAAGATTGGTCAGGCAATTGCAATGCAAAGTGCTATACTACCGCCAGAATTCCAGAAAATGTTCTCCAGGATGTTTGACGATGCACCACAAAACGAGTGGAAAGATGTAGAGAAAGTAATCAGAGAAGAATTTCAAAAATCTCCTGAAGAAGTCTTTGACATAAGCTTTAGCTGCGAGGCTGGTAAAGGAGTCATGGAGAAAAAAGCTAGAGCTTCAGCTTCTGTAGCACAAGTACACTGGGCACGACTTGCTGATGGAAGAGAAGTAGCAATCAAGATCCAGAAGCGAGAAATTGTTCAACAGGTTGGCTGGGATTTATGGGCATTCAAGTAAGATCAGTCTAAGTTTGCGTCTTAATATTTACTCAAGGTCTTTTAGGGTTGTTACCAAAGTTTATTCATACTGGTTTGACCTTCCACTAGATAGGCTAGTACCTTATATCTCGGAAAGACTGGAGCTTGAAACAGATTTTCTTAATGAAGCTCAAAATTCTCGAAGAATGGAAGAGCTTGTCGCCAACGAGCCTCGCCTAAGAAATCGAGTCTATATTCCAAAAGTGTATGAAAACCTGTCTTCAAAACGGGTCTTGACAACCGAATGGATCGAAGGCGTGAGATTTTGGGACAAGGAGGCCATAACAGCCCCCTGGCTAGGTAAAACCCAGGGCTCACCCGGGGCCAGGGGCTCGCCTCTCTCATCATCACAAAATACTCCCCATAACAACGAAAACTCAGAAGCTCTCAAGCCCGATCGTGATTCTTGGAGAGGGCCAAGAAAGAATGGTGGGTTAGGAGTTTCGAAGAAGGAAGTAATGTCTACAATGATAGATCTATTCTCTGCTCAAATGTTTCTCTGGGGCGTTGTACATTGTGATCCACACCCTGGAAATATGTTTGTACGCCGTAAACCTGATGGCCACGCTGAACTTGTGTTGATAGATCACGGGCTCTACGTGACCATGAGTCCAAAACTACGACATCAATATTGCCGTTTCTGGAAAGCTATCATGACTTTTGACAACGAAACTATTGGCGAGATTACCAGATCATGGGGGGTTCAAGCACCAGATCTGTTTGCAAGCGCAACGCTAATGCGGCCATATGAGGGCTACAATGGCAGCGTAAACGCGCGATTCACGAATGACTTGACAGGTAAAACTGCCGCGGAGCGACACTACGAAATCCAGGAGCGAATGCGCCAAGGTATTCGCGAAGTTCTCGCCGATCTCGACTCATTTCCACGTGAGTTAATGTTCATCGGGCGAAACATGCGTATTGTACAAGGAAATAATCAGTTCCTGGGCAGTCCAGTCAACCGTATTAAACTCACGGGGATATGGGCTTCGCGAAGCTTAGTTGATAGCCGAGACCTGACACGAGGGGAAATTTGGCTCAATGCCTGGCGTCACTTGCTTTTTCGTATTATTTTACTCGTTAGTGATACGGCCTTTTATACTAGTAAATTGAAACAAACATTTGGCCTGGGCAAGGGGTTTGAGGATGATATTGAAAAACAGATGAGGTCTATTGCGAAAGATCAATTTGGCGTAGATCTCCAGCATCCTGTATTCGACGGTTAAGCAAGAACGATGTTGGGGCTTAGAGTAAGATAGTAGTGACCGAAATCAATTTTCACGATTCTGATGGCGACTTAACAGCCGATTTGACAATAGGTTTCGTATTGCTCCAACTTCAATAACCCTGACGCTTGTAGTTGTTGTCACGAGAAAGCCAATTCTATTTTCCCGACTGTGGTAATGATAAGACCGTCTATTTCAAACTTTCTGATCTCGCACCTGATGAGGTGTGGTGGGCGTCGTAGATTGCAGCACTATCGTTCACATTGCATGTTGCGAGTAAATCTCATCTTCTCGACGGTAGCCCGTTGCTGACGAGAAGCCCATATAATGACGAACAAGATCCTTACAAGCTCTCGCGACGTATCAAATAACGAACTCATTGTGTCATCTACTGGATGGGTTAGAGACATTCGAGACATGCACTGCCTATTGGCAGTAGCAAGTTCAAGGCAGGCTCGAGATTTGTCGCTTATTAATTCACCTGGACTTTCGCATAAAGAGAGATAATGTTAGTTGTTTCAATTCTCGTCGTGTTGCGAAAGAAAGCCCTGACTCCTGAGTTGCGGCTCATTCACGAAGCAAGCATCAGGCTTGTGATCATAAACGATGACAATTTCCCCAGATTAGAAGCATTTCCAGTAGGCTCAAATACTCGTATGAAATTCGGATGATTCATCAATAGGTGGGAGGTATGTCGCACCGACTACATCCAACCAAGAAGCGTGACTGTCATCCACACTCTGTGGCAAGGCTGCGAGCGGGGGGACAATTGTCCGCGACAGAGTCACTATGTCTTCGGATGTAGTCCTAATGCCGGTATTAGGAGACCTCCGCACCCAGTGGTTTTTGTGACTTTTCCCGGCTGTCATACACCCGCAAATGGCCATCGTTTCGTTGGCTGGAGAGGGGAGATAGTAAAGGGCAAAGGGCCCCTCTTAGTGTATGATCGAATGAGGACTTGTGAGGGGTGTTACTGTTTGAGGGGAGCTGTATGAGAGGCATAGAAGGGGATATACTACTGGTATAGGTATCCTTGGCCTGTAGGCAGAGAGGACCTGCATGTCCTACATAGTCATAGACTCAGACAGGACAAAAAAAATAATAATAAATTGTCCGCGACAACCTCAGCGATTATAGGCGTAAACTTCTCCAAAAGTTCCAAGATTAGTCATACTTCGCAATGCCGGAGGACTTGGACCATAAGGGAGTGGTTCTGTCGAAGCACAAGTCTTTTCCACGCGCTTAGATTATCATTGATTAGCGGGCGCTATATTCACTTCCATTAAGATACGAATTTAATTATTTACCTCTTGGGACTGTGAGGGACTTATAGAATCTACCCACTAAATTCTGGCAACTGTTTCAAATTTTCTATGTTAAAATGTGATAGTTAAATGTTTTCCCATAAATGTTGACGATCATGCCCTCTCACTTCTATTCATCGAGAGTTACCTTGCAGATTTTCAGCATAGGCCATTCCTTCTTCCTCCACGCGCGCGCGCTTTGGTCAGGCCGACCAAATCATGTTTGTTCATTTTACTTGTGCACGCGCTTTGTGCTATAAATTCTTGAGGTTGTAATTTTCAGGGGATTGACATGGGAAACTGTTTCTTACCCGATGAAGACTGATGGGCCAAACGGAAACGATATGATAGATGATGAATGGTTCGAGTGCATACAAGCTAGTGAGGGGAGAACTGGGGGGGAGGGACAATTGAATCCACTTGAAACATTTCTCAGAGTATCTCCGTGCCGCTCCATAGATTCCATGCTCCCAAACAAGTCAATATCTCCCTCCCGGCAGATCGGTTTTGACCGGAGCCTCATCAAGTTTACAAGTACGGCCTTGGACAATCTAGTTTCAACTACCACATCTCGCGTCAACTCAGTCTCTAGACCCATCTGGCCTTCACATACACGCCTACAAGAACACGATTACCTGCCGGAGGTCACAAATTGTGGCGCATAAATCCGGGAGACAGGTTATTTTAGGGTGGGCGCGAGAGATATCAGGATAAGTCTCCAAGATGACGCAGAGCATAGGTACAGTCTTGACGAGCGTGAAATTTTGAAGTTTAGCAAAGAGTTTTACAGTTTGGAGAGCGTTGTGCGTGCCGAGACTATAAAAGCCGCCATGGTTGGATGGCGTAGTGGTACACGGTCTTAGCCGTCTTCCATGTAAGGTCTGGATAGCCGGAACAAATTTCCTATTCGAGACAGGAGACCGCTGCTTCTAATCCAGCAATACCAAACTACATTTCTCGCGGCACTGTTACACATGGATGGCAAAGTTATGTTTAGAT